TCTAGGCATTTGGGGTGATGGAATAACAAACTGGGGCACCCCTGCTCATATGTACTCTGGTATGAGCCTAACAGCTGAAGCTAGATAGCCTTATGGGAGACAGATGTAGAAACCACTTGTAAACTCAGAGTGGCCTTCCTAGAGCAGGCAGCTCCCGGCAGATTCAAACAACAGGAGCTTGGGTGGGCAGAATTACAAGCAAACAGGGCCACGAGGGAGATATGCTAGGGGGTGGGCTCTGAGTGGCACAGATGCTGCCACCAGGGAATGCCACTGGGATGAAGAGGAGCTGAGACTTCACACACACCTACCTGAGAGCCACCGTGAATGCCTGGTATCTAAAGGACTCCTCAGAGAGCCCCCTGAGGGCGGAAACCCTGTCTGGATGACTCAGGGAGTTTCGAACAGCACAAGGTCACCTCAGCAAACTGCATAACGGACAAGACAAAGGAGCTCCAGTGAAAGAGGAAGCAGCAAAGATCTTTCCAGATGTAAGCTCTCGTTCTGATTGCGACCTGTTTTTCATTTGTGGTCTTCAAGCTACCGCTTCTTTGAGTCATACATGGGGCTCTTGGAACCAACCACTAAGATTCCCACTGACCTCCCAAGGCTTCACACTTGTGCTTTTGAATAATCCAGGTCTCCACACACTCTGTTCTCCTACCCCGCAAATGCCTGCTTAACTGCACCCTGCCTTAGTCTAGAGGAAGTGAGCCATAAGCCGGCCAGGGAACCAGAATTTGATAGACTCCATATAAAGCACAGTAAAGACCTGAAGGCACTGCCCAGCCAGAGGGGCTAGCTATTGAAATGCCACCATGGGCGTCAGCTTTGCTCCTCATCTCCCCACAGTAAATTAGCTCCAGGCACCCAAGCCGTGCATTGGCCATTGACATCTCCCAGCTGTGAGGAAAAAAGAGGCTCCAGCTGCAGCCAAATTCAGAACTAGGGACCGGTCAACTCCAAAAGTATTTTATTGTTGTTCTATTCAGTAAAGCCTGTAAATATGTTTATATATATTAAGATCTAGTAATGAATGTTTGTTTTTTTTTGCATATAGAACACATGTAATATGCGACTACTATAAATATATTTATGTTAAACTCAAATATTTGTAGGAAAACAAATAAAATACTTGTTCACGTGCATTTCTTCTATTCCCCAGATGGAACACACTGTGGCATTGTGGGACATTTGGTGTGTTGCTGGGCTCTCACCTAGGGAACAAATGTCTGAATTTGGTATGGTTAATCTTGTCAATTTGATAGGATTTAAAATCACCATGGGATCAAATCTCAGGGCAAGTTTGTTTACTATCTAGACAAAGGACTGCTATCTAGATTTAAGGACTGCTATCTAGATTTGCTTAATTGAAGTATAAAGACCCACCCTAAATGTAGGTAATACCTAATTCCACGGTCTGGAATCCTGGCAGAGTAAAAAGGAGAGAGGCTGATAGGAACAAGAATGTATTGTTCTCTGCCTCCTGACTGTGGATGCAGTGTGACCTGCTGGCCTCCTGCTCTTGCCGCCATGCCTCCGCTGCCATGATGGAATGTCTCTCCTTTGGCTGTGAGCCAACATAGATTGTGCCTTCCATAATTGCTTCTGTCAGATGTTATGTCCTAGCCGTGAGACATGTAACCAATACAGAAAATTGGCACTGAGAAATGGGGCCATTGCTGGGATAAATCTGACCCTGTGGCCTTTGGAACTGCTTTGTGTAAGAGTTTGGGTTAGAAAAGTCCTTGACTGCTGTAAGAGCCCTTACTGTGCCATTCTGGTGAGAGCTTGGAGCACAGAATGCTGAGGGATGCTGAGGGTGGTGGCCTGACTCAGGAGGCTTCAGAGGGAAACAAAGATTCCATGAGGAACTGAGTTAGGGCTATATTCATGTTATATTCTGGCAGGGAGTCTGGCTGCATTCTGCCTGTGTCCTGAGAACTACGGTAGAGTGGAATTTGAAAGTAATGGACTAACTTGTTTGACAGAGAAAGTCTCAAAATGGGGTAGCACTCAAGCTATTTTATGATTACTGCTCATTGTGTTTATCCAGTTCTACAAAGAGGGAAGCAACAATTAGAAGGAAGAAAAGCTGGAAAATATTTGACATTTGGCCGTTGTGGGGCGGGGGGGAAGGGAGGGAGGGAGTTGAAAGTTGTAGACAAGAAGCAGCTATAATTGTTAAGGGCCACCACCAGTAGAGAGCTACCTCTTGGTGTGCAGGAACAGTAGGGAAGGCATCCTGAGGGGAAGTCCTTTTACACTGTAGACTTCATCTTGTGCAAATGCAAATTCGTTTGAAAAGAGAGACCCTACACTGAGAAGAAGCAGGGTGGGGAAGCCTAGGGAAATGTTTCCTGGGGTGAACAGAAGCCCTGCAGCTGAGGTTCAAGGGAGTCAGCCTCCTTGAGCTTGCAGTGGAACTTGGCAGTATCACCGATGTAGAACTGGTTGTTGTGGGCACAAAAGATGTAGGATTGAGGAGAGCGTGGTGTCTCCCACCAAGTATGAGGAGCTGTTGGAAATCCCTTCAGGGAAGCCTAGAAAAGCCATTGTATGAAGTGTGAAGGTAAAGCCAAACTTGCAGTGCCGTTCCTAGAGTGTTGGAGGTGTGAGAGCCATAGGGTGTCAGCTGAGGAGTGCTGCAGTGTGTGGGGATGGAGGGGTGGGGCCGGAGGGGTGGGACCTCTGAAGAACTTCGGAGCCCAGATGATTCCATCCAGAACTCCGGATGCTGGATAGAGAGCTACAGGACTTGTAGTCATCTTGTTCAAAGTTCAGTCTTGCTTTGGCCTGCTCATTCCTTGCTGTATCCCAGTTCTTCCCTTTTGGAATTTTATTCTGTGCCATTGTATATTGTGATATGTAACTTATTTCTTGTTTTATAGGAGCTCAGTTAAGAGATTGCTCTGAGTCTCAGGTGATACTTGGACTTTGGATTTTCAAACAGTGTTGGAACTATTAAAGATTATGGGGACTTTTGAGGTTGGACTAAATGTATTTTGCGTTGTGAGATGGCAGTGAGCCTGTGGGGATAAGGAGAGAGAGATTTGGGCTTACAGGTAATGTGTTTGCAACCAGTAGAGTCGTAAGGGTTAATCTTTGTTGTCAGTTTGATGGAATTTAGAATCATCATGGAGAAACAAATCTTTGGGAATGTTTGTGAGTAATTATCTCGATTAGATTAACTGAGGTGGGAAAGCCCACCCTAAGTATGAGTAGTAGTGTTCCGTGGGCTGGGGTCCTGCATCAAGTAAGGGGAGAAAGCTAGGTGAGCATATATGATACTCTTTTCTGTTACTGGGTGGAATGTGACCAGCTCCCTCCTGCTGCTGTGTCTTCCATGATGGGCTGATCCCTCAAAGTGTGAGCCAAAAAACAATGTCTTAGTTAGGGTTTCTATTGCTGTGAAGAGACATCATGACCACAGCAACTCTTATAAAGGAAAACATTTAATTGGAGCTGGCTTCCAGTGTCAGAGGTTTAGACCATTGTCATCATGGTGGACGTGGCTGCATGCAGCCAGACATGGTGCTGGAGAAGTAGCTGAGAGTTCTACATAGGAAAGGCAGCAGGAAGAGAGAGTGACACTGGGTTTGGCTTGAGCATCTGAAACCTCAAAGCCCACCCCCCAGTAACGCACCTACCTAACAGTGCCACTTCATTATGGGCCCGTGGTGTTACTGTTCAAGTGTGCTTTTTCAGCCTGGGGACATATCTATATCTCATTGGTAATTTTCTTTTGCCTTTCTGTAGTTACTAATTTGCACATCCATTTGTGTTTTGTTGGCTGTTGGTGTTTGCACTTAGCCTGTTTGTATCCTGTACTGAATCTTCAGTTGGAGTGTTCTTCTGTACTTAAGGTTTCAGTCACTTGTCTGTTTTGTATGTTGCAAATGTTTTTCTCCTAGTTGTCTTTTACCTTTTTTTTTTTTTTAAATAGCATCTGTTTAGCAAGGGGATCTTTCAGACACTTATGTAGAAGAAATTAGGGAACTCAAGCTGATGTAGACTAGTGATTAGTTTCTGTTTCAGCTATTGTTTGAGTATGTGTGTATTCATAAATATATACAAGTATATTTTTATTATGTGGTTGGTAAGCCTTTAGAAGTCAACCAGGTTTGTGGGGTTTGCACTTATTTGCAAGCATGTCCTACCATAGTCGATGCTGCAAATGTGACTGCTACACACAGGGGTCTCTAGAGCCTCTGTGAAGCTGCAAAACCACTTACCAATCATGGAAGGACTGGGGACTACTGAGATAGGCTGTCCGTGGAAAAACAGACGGACAGCTGCATAGCCCCAACCTGAACAGGGAGAGACCTTCCCAATCACAAAGAAAAAGCATTAAGGTTCCCCTGTTGCTGCCTTCAACTGATTCTGTGTCCACCCTGCCAAGGTGAATGCTGTCATTGATAGCTTAGCCAATCTCCCAGTCTCCCATGGGGCCTGGGGCTCACTGATAGAAAGACTGATGCCAAGTAGACAAGCTATTACGTATTGTGTGACACTCGACCCCCACAGGTGACCGGGGAGGAAACAGTTAGGGGTCCATTCACTGCACATGTGGACCTTTGTCTCAGGCTCTCTTCTGTGAAGCGATCTCATGAGGACTAGTGAGCAGATTCCTGATACAGGGCTCTAGGGACCACGGAGTGTGGTTGGATGGTATTAATTGAGGTGTGACACACTCCATTTAGCACTTAACAGGCGCCAGTGGACAATGCCCCCCCTCCCATAGAGTTATGGGAGCTAAAAGCTTGTTGAGAAGAGGGGCTGTGTCATCATGCACAGTTACTTCCAGTAACTGAATAGTGAGGAGTACGTTCTCCTCACCCACGCCAAGGGAGGTCTGTTACTCAGGAAGACCCAGGCTGACTTCTTGTTCTGCTAAAGTCCACCCTAACTGAAGGAAAGAACACCCCTGTGGCCTTCAGCCGTCCGCGGCCACAGCAGCTGATCTAGCATCTCCTTTACCCACTCTGCTTTCTTTGCAGTCCACCTGATCCCAGTGTCCACCACAAAGAATGGAGGAAGCAGCAAGAGTCGGAAGAGGATCATGCCTGACCCCGTGACAGAGCCCCCCACCGTAGATCCTGTTTATGAAGCTCTTCTGTACTGCAACATTCCGAGTGTAGCCGAGCACAGCATGGAAGGTAGACGGGTGTATGACCTGTCGCTGTCTGGGTAGCCTGGGCCTCAGGACCCAAGTAGACATCCTGGGGACTAAGTTCTCTAAGCAGCATCAAACAATAAGAAACTGGCCAGCCTGGCCTCAAATCCTGCAGCAAGCCCTGCCCTGTGCCTGGGGATGGGCTCCTGGGTCTTAGCCCACTGTACTGAGTAGTGGATGTAGCTGGTCTCTGGTGAGATGTGGGTAAGGCAGGCAAGGGCTTGAGGCTGACCCATCTCTGCTTCTCAGGGCAAATCCACTATTTGCTTAGCATGTCCACAGGGCCTACAGTCTTGCTATAAAGGAATGTGAAAATCAGGTTTCACTGTCAGGTTTCACTTTCTTCAAAGTGTATCATAGGGGGTGTGGGATGCATGCATTTGTGTCCTGCTGTGTTTCCTGACGGAGTTAAAAAGCAGATGTCTGTTGCTAGGGTTTTTATGAGCCTCCCCCAGTCTCTGCATGTGAGACATTAGGCACCACGTGTACATCTCACTGGCCTTCAGCTGATGGCTTTGGGGGCTCTGGGACATGTCGGTCCCTCCCATGAACCTCTGTCCCACCTTCTGGGGCTTCTTCAGCATCACCCACCCAGCACAGCAGCCTTCCATACAGTTTCAAGGCCCTGAGTAGCAACTCCGCCATTTCTGGGTTGCCCTGGGTTCTACCTCTTCAGTAAACCAGCCTGGGCTTGTGCCACCCTTGCTAAAAAACACTTGCTTATCGTGTGGTAACTGGAAGATGTGTCTCTCTCACAGGTCATGCCCCCCATCATTATAAACTGGTCTCCGTTCACGTGTTCATTCGCCACGGGGACAGGTACCCACTGTATGCCATTCCTAAAACAAAGCGGCCGGAAATCGACTGCACTCTAGTGGCGAGCAGGTAAATTGCACTTTTTTATGAGTCATCTCATGCATTCTGCTGTGTTCTGTGCAGCAGAGCATTATGGGAGGGAGGTGCGAGCTATGCTTTGGTGGGCGCAGACTGTTCAAAGTGTTCACCGTCTTGCATTGCATGCTGTTGTGTTGTCTCCCTTGGGAGACACAGACATTTATTCAACCCAGATGGGACACTGATGACAGATCAGAAAAATAACTCCAACCAAGCCCAGCTTTGTAAGCCAGAGATTTTAGTGGGGTTACCTAGAAGAACATGGGTGACTCAGAGGCTATTGCCTCACTGGAAAGCCCACCCCAGCATGGGTGATCACTCAGAATGCTTCACCCCTCTTCACCCTGGACAGCTCGCAGGCACTTTCTTCTCTCCCCTTAGTGGTTATTTCCTGCTGTTAAAATCTCGAACAGGGCCTTGTGAGTCTTGTAACTTTCTGAGCTTCCGAGTCTTAAGTTTTGTATGTCTTTTAAATTTCATTTGGCTTCCTGACTCCTACGAGTCTCCCTTCTCTCTCCAGGAGAGAATGTCTGAATTGGGAGAAGAGAGCCAAAGACAGGCCCAGAGCAGAGAGGGTATCAGTTTCAGGCAACTCAGAAAATACACTGAGGCCCTAGCCCCGTTCAGTCCGAGACCCAGCCTCTCATTCTGATGTTCCGTGTAAGAAAGAAGAGATAGTGTGAGCAATGGGTGGAGGTGTTCCATGGAGGCCCCAGCCACATCAGTCCCTTGGTCTCGATGAGCTCAGCCCCTCCCCCCACAATGGAAACCAAAGCTCACCAGGCAGGGTTGGAGGTGAGGGGCAGATGATGCACACGCACGCACGCAGCTGCTGAGGCCTGTGAACGTAAGATAGTGTTCAGCCATTTAATTTTTCACACATTACAGGCAGCACTGTCTTAGTTGAAAGCCCTTAGGATGAAAAATAATTGAACAGAGAATGGAAATTGTGTGCATGGAAATTAGAAGCAGTTAGCAATAAATGATGCCTTGGCCGTAGCCAGTGTGTCTGGGGGCACATAGCATCCATCCTGTGCGGAGTTTACCATGAGACTTAGGGAAGTACCCGGAGGGGGGGGTGTTGTTATTTTGATAGAGTGCTCCTGAGGTGCCAGCCTGCCTATGCAGGACCAGCCCAGTAGTGGCACCATGGATTGCTTGCCTGCAGCCAGGGCTGCTCTCTGAGCACACAGAGCTGGAGGTTTCAGATAACTCTTGATATTCCAGACCCCCTAGGATTTGGGAACTAGTCAATGAAGCATTTTAAGTAGAAAGACTGTGAGATTTTACATGTTCTCTCTTGTGCTCGAGACTACATGGCTGCTAGCCTGGGGATCCATGTTTTCCTTGCCTCATTGAATTAACAAGGTGTGTACCCTAGTGTCTCCTGTTAGGGGACTGTGAACACCCTGCCTCTCCCCATCGGGACTGAACCCTCTCTCTCCAGCCTGGCATTCAGACTTTCCCCTGTGATTCTCTCTCTGCTCCCCAGCACCCCACTTCTCACAGCACCTTCTCCTTCATGGCTTTGTACCAGCTGTGTCTCCCTCCTGCTGTCCTCCCTGCTCACCCCACTTCCACAGTATCTTCAAGACCTCCTTAGAAGTTCTGTCTTCCAGGCAGCAGCCTCTCATCCCTTATGTGGAACACCGGGGTGGCTCTGTGGCTGTCTAGGGAACTGACAATACCCACCCCTCACTGTAAAGGTGCAGGGACATACAGGAAGGATGTCAGAACAAGTGAGGGAAGTCTAGTATAAAAGCCATCCTAGCTGGTGTAGAGCCGGGGCAAGGATGGAGGCTGCTGGTTACACTACACTTTAACCCTGTGGATGGGGAGCAGGGAAGGGGCAGCTCAGAGGAGCCATTGCTGTCCACTGGGGGCAGCCAGGTGTTGTGTTTACAGCCAGAACTGCTCTGCTCCTACCTATTGGCCTTCCAATGAGCAGCCTGAGGACATGTGGGGCACTGGGCTTCTGCGCTAGGCAGCATGGCTGTGGGGCTTTATGGACTGTCACATGCTTCAGTTCCTTAGCTGTAGTCTCCTTCCTCTTGCATGGAGTTGCAGTTCTACCAGGAGAGTCCAACTGGTACAGCTCAGACCCCATACAGTCACTATGGGGTTACTATGGCTATTCCCAGAGAAGGGGCCTATTAGTCTGGGCCCCCTGGGCACCCTGCAACTTATCTTGCCAAGGGGACTCACCTCTGCCATCCCCAGGCCTGACTGCTCCCAAATCACCGAGCCCAACCCAGAACCCGTCCAATGACAGCTTTTGGACTTGATAGCCGCAGAATGAATTTGTAACCTCTGTGGGGATCACAGGATACATTTCCTGTCACCATGCTCCTGCTGATAGAGTTGAACCTTGGCCATTGTATCCCTGAAGCCTTTACAACCTGTTTGACACAGGGCAGATCCCTTCCCCTCTTAGAGGCACCGTACTCCATCCTGGAACAAGGGATGTCCTGCCTTTCTTATGTCAACTTTATGTGTCCAACTAAAGGAGGGAACAGGTAAGTATGTGGCCTGCACAGAAGCTTCATCCACGGTGATGTGACATCACCCACAGCAGCCTAGAGGCCACCTTGTCTGTGGTGGTTTGAATATGCTTGGCCCAGGGAGTAGCACTATTAGGAGGTGTGCCCTTGTTAGAGTAGGTGTGGCTTTGTTGGAGGCAGTGTGTCACGGTGGGAGTGGGCTTGAAACCCTCCTCCTAGCTGCCTGGAAGCCAGTCTTCTGTTTGCCTTCAGAACAAGATCGAAGCACCATGCCCACCTGGACATTGCCATGTTTCCCACCGTGATAATATACTGAACCTTAGAACCTGTAAACCAGCCCCAATTAAATGTTGTCCTTCTAAGAGTTGCCTTGGCTATGGTGTCTGTTCACAGCAATGGAGACCCTAACTCAGACATTGCCTAGGTGCTTTCCCTGAGGTGGGTTATTGCTGGAGCCAGTTCAGGCCTTGGGAACTCTGCTTTAGCAGCCTCACTCCTTGCTCCTCTTCCTGTCCACTGTGCGTTTGCAGGAGCTACCCTAAGTCCTTTGTGGAAAGGACACAGTGCACATGTTTAACTACAACAGCCCTCTTCCTCCGGCTGAGTTTTCCTCCATTTTGGTTGCCTCTGGTACAGCGGTCTAGCCACAACAAATGGAAAACTCCACATGGTTGCGGTGTGTTGCGGAACCTGCTGTATCTTATTGTCAGTCGTTATAATAACTCACCATGCCTTAGAATTAAACCTTATCATGGGTACTATTTGCACAGGAAAGAGCAGGGCAGATGCAGGGGCTCAGGCTATCTCTGGCTTCCAGCAGCTCCCCACACACTCAGATGAAAGAAGTCACTACTTAACATTTTTAAATTAAGCCCATCCTTAAACACAGTAAGGCTTGGCTTACCACTGCAAACATGTACTTAGGGAAGGGGTGAGCAGGCATGCAGTGTGTAGACCTGCTCTGGGCCCCCACCCCAGCAGTGCCTGCTGCCTTCCCAGATGCTGTTTTTGGCTCATAAATTAGTAATTTTGTGGTTTCCTGCTAGGCAGTAAGGCCTGGAAGGTACCTACTACTTTGGTCTATCGTTGGAGATGTCTGACTTGCTGGTGGGAGCTAGATGTGTCCATATATGTCTTTTGCCTTAGAGTACCTATGCACAGTACTGAGCCCCATTGCCTTTGTAGAGGAAGATGGTTCCCCATGATTGCTATGTGCTGTGTTAGGAAAGGTTCTATTTCACCCTCCCAGTATTACAGTTAGTCAGTATTGGAGGTATTAACCATGTGAGTGCCATGCTTTTTAAAATTAATTATTTATGTATGTATGTGAGTACACTGTTGCTCAATTCAGACACACCAGAAGAGGGCATCGGTTCTCATTATAGATGGTTGTGAGATACCATGTGGTTGCAGGGACTTGAACTCAGGACCTCTGGAAGAGCAGTCAATGCTCTTAAACTGCTGAGCCATCTGCCCGAGGAAGAAAGTGTCGTGCTTTTAAATGCCCCTTTTACGTTCATAAAGATGAGTGTGCTTTTCTACATCCAAGAAAATAAAACAGTCCTTTCAAACATTTAGATAACAAATTTAGAGTTATGCCCCTTTCCTGGACCAGACTACATGGTAGCACACAAGTCACCAGCACACCAGTTACATAAGAGTAGTGGAGATGTCCTATGAAGACCTGGGAAGAGAATGTTCTAGATGGAAGGACCAGAAAATACAGTGGGCCTGCAGCTTGCAGAGCTGGGCATGCATGAGTAACACTGGGACTAGTCTGGCTGGGAAGGTAACAGGGTAAGCAGGCATCTAAAGCACCATAATAGATGGGCTATCCTGCCCTCGGGGGCCACTCACGTCTGAAGATCCAGGTCTCTGTCATGCTGGTGCTGGGTCAGTCAAGCAGAGAAAGAAGAGAAGAAAAACTGGAGTGGAAAAGGCTTTGGTAGTACACTTGGGGCCTGAGCCAGCAACCCACAACTCAGCTTATGAGACTGTCTTAGTTAGGGTTTTATTGCTGTGAAGAGATACCATGACCCTCAGCAACACTAAATAAGGAAAACATTTAAGTAGGCCTGGCTTACCGGTCAGAGGTTCAGTCCATTGTCATCATGGCAGGAAGCACGGCAGTGTGCAGGCAGACATGGTGCTGGAGAAGGAGCCAAGAGTTCTACATATGATATCCCCAGGCAACAGGAAGAAAGAGCAAATCACTAGGCCTGGCTTGAACTTCTGAAATCTTAAGTCTACCTGCCAGTGACACATTTCCTCCAGCAAGCCACACCTACTCCAACAAGGCCACACCTCCCAATTGTGCCACTCCCTAAGGGCTATGGGGAGCATTTTCATTCAAACCATTACAGAGAGGGGATAAAGAGTGAAGCCACTCTGAGGAAGAGACCAAAGGTTGTGCAGAAGTCAGGTAGCAGCCAATGAGAAACTGCTCATTAGCAGTCAGACCCACCCAGGCCACATGGGAACTTGGGGGTTTTTAATCTCACCTCAGTGGCAGGAGTATAGCACCAAAATGGGTCCTTCAGACTGCAACCCTACTGGGGAGCCTGGGTTCCAGCATACTGCAGGAGGAGTGAGAAGGTAGAGACTTCTGGCAGCCACAGGGTGTGTGAGAACAAGTTGGTGTGTTAGTCATGCTGTTCTGTGGAAGTGATCTCAAAGCAAAGCCTCGTCAGAGGCAGAGCCCATATCCTGAAAGCCATATCCTCGGCCCTTTGCCTTCAGCCTCATCAGCCACCCTCCTCGCTCTTTCGTGTACTAATCCCAGTGTACTTTCCACACGTGAGCACATGGCTGCCTGGGACTGTGTCCTCTCTCCAGGAGATACACAGGCAGTGTTAGGGCTTCTTCCTGTCACTAGGATTGTAAGATCTGCTTAGAACACTTCATTTAAAATGACAGGGTGCTCCTCCCCCACTCCGCTCTCCTCTCCTGCCTTCTCTCGCCATAGCATTTATTATTCATTCTCTCTCTCTCTTTGTCTCTATCTGTCTGTCTGTCTGTCTGTCTGTCTGTCTGTCTGTCTGTCTCTCTGTGTGTCTGTCTGCCTCTCTGTCTCTCTGTCTCTCTTTGTCCCTGTCTGTCTCTTTGCCTGTCTTTCTCTGTTGTCTCTGTCTCTGCCTATCTTCCCCCACACACACCCCTCTCTCTCATATACATGCATGATTACAGGATTTCTTGTGTGGTGTGATTCTCCAGGCTGGAATGTATATTCCCTCCCTGAGTCAGAGAGGTTCTTTCTTACTTGTGTTCATTGCTGTTACCACCCAAGTACCCAGGACAAATGTTTGTTGTTAAATGAGAAATCGACTGACGTTGAACCTAGAGAATGTCACCATTGTCGTGGAGGGGGTGACCTTGGAGAAGGTCAGGTAGGATGGGTGGGCTGCATGACTGGGTGGAGTGAAAAAGCAGAGACAGGGCCACATTACTGATGGCGATGTCCTTTTGGGAGCTAAGAACACTGGAGAGGAGCTCTGGCTTCAGCTCCAACGTGGCCTGTGAGCTATCTCCAGAAACGCAAGGAAGAGTGTCTGCCGGGCAGAGGGCTGTGCAGTTAGGGCTTAGGAACATTGGCATGCTGGTTTCCTTGAGCATCTTTAGCATGTGGGCAGCAGATAAGGCTAAACTGGTCTCAGGCAGAATGAGGAAAGCAGACAGTTGGCCATATCAAGTTTCATAAAAAGGCCCAGAAAAGTACCCTGGGATTGTCTTTTTTGTAAGCTTGTTTTGTTGAAATTGGAAACAATCTATTCTTTAGTTGGTTTAAGAGTTTTAGATGTAATATAAATTCCTTCTGGTTTCCAGCCAGGTGAGCTTTTAAGATTACACTTCTGTAATAGCGCTGCTGTCCCAGGTCCAGGTAGCCAGCTCTGCAGAACCCAGATCACAGCTCGAATGTTCTATTTTCTCTTGAATGTGATTGGCCATGGGATTCTGCCTTGAGCATTGTGGGATAAGTACACTGGAACAGGGCATATAAAAATGTGTATAAGAACTCCCAAGCAAACGACTTGCAGTAATTTTTTTTATTGTCTTGGTTGTCAACACGATGGCAGATTCCCTAGGAGGCCAAGGTCATATGAGTTATGCTAAGGAGAAATACATCCTCAGGTAGTCAGGGCCAGTGAGGCTTTGTATCAGAGGAACTCAAAGGCACTGTGCCCTAAACAAGGAGGTTTACCTCTTCCTGTGTAAGGGTAGATTTCTGCCACTCAGCCCATCTAGCTATTCAGGGTGAGGGTCCTTCCTGGTTGTTGGCCTTCACTGCTCTCCAGCAACGTCTCACAGCTGGCCTGGGGTGCTCCTTTGCCCACACAGCTGCCAGAGGAAGAACAGGGCAGGAAGGTGCCAAAACCTTGGAGTGTGACGTGTACTTCAGCAGTGGGTGCTAACCACGTAGCCAAGTAGAAATAACAGAATTTGGCACGCAACTATACCCTCACATCACCTACCACAGCCTTTGTTTTCCATATTCCCATTGAAATCAAGGTATTATAATAACCGCTATGGCGACATAGTAGTCATTATTCTGGGTTAAGGAAGATGCAGACATGATATTTTCACAATACGTCTAAGAATGGGATATGTCACAGTTGCATTCATTCCCACATGGTTTTGGAGCATCTACCAGATATGCTCTGGGCTCCGGGGATGGAGGTAAGGGTGAGACCTGAGCAGTGGGAACCAGGTCAGGCCCCAAGGACTCGGATGCCTAGTCTAGTCTTCCTACTATGAAAAGAATACAGCCACTAGTTATCTGTCCTGTAAATGTTTCTCTTCTGTGAATCTTCATATTTGTGTCCCCTGAAAGCAGTTGTAATGAAGGGAGGTGATGTGGTTTTGTGGGAGAGCATGTGAGACAGGCTCAACATATTTAAAGCTTGGGTTTCCATCTTAGTGCTGCAAAACAGAAGAAGGGAAGGAGAGCTGTAATGAATATCATTAGAGAGTGCAGCATCGTTAAACACTCAGATGCCCCAGAACCTGGAACATCTCAGCAAAACACATGCAGGAGTGAAATTCCATTTCTAAAATTGGCAGCCAAGCGTTTTCAGAGCCTCAGAAGTCCCCAACTGAAATAATGCCCCAGAACAGAAGATTTGAGTTGTTTGGATGGATAGCCAGTGTTGATGTGAATTCACGTTGACAGCCGTGTTGTTGGTCTGGACATTTTATTTCCTGGTTTATAAACATTTATGTGCCCGGCCTCAGGCAGAATAAAACGTGCTCTGTTCCCCCCCGCCCCCAAGAGACACGATTCCCGGCAGCCATCCTGGGGGCTTTATTAGACGCTCTTGCATGTCTAGATTAGCAGACTCTAATTTTAAAACATTTTTTAACATGGATTTTTTCAGCTTTCTGCTTGTGAGAGATGTAAATCCATTTGGGCATCAGTTTTTAAAGTATTTCCAAAGTTAATTAGTCTGTCAGACAGCAGGGGTTTGCCATTAGAACAATTTATCTGCTGCTCTCATGCCAATTTGCATGCGGTTTTCTTGCCATTGGCTCTCTCTGTCCACTTCCATTCAGCTGGAAATGGCACACACACACACAGGCCATTCTACTATTCAGAGAAAAGGCGTGTGTATTCACAGGTCACTTAGTTACACCGAGAGAAGGTATACTACTCGTAGGTCATCGTCATCTAGGGAAATCGTCTATTAGTGATGGATAAAGTGTGTTCTGTGATCTCACACCTCACAGCCTTTCTAGGCACTCGTTACTGCCTAGCATTAAGTGAGATGTTTTATTTGCAAAGTACACAGCAGCCTGTACAGGACTGGAGAGGTTGGGGCATTGGTTATCTTATTTAGTTAATGTTTTTTCGAAAAGAGTTTGTTCCAGAGGTCAGAAACGGTAATGAGACAAGTCCTCCAGGAGGGTGTACAAAAAGGGACAGAGATGGGAAGGAGCGGAGTGTGTTATACGCTGGGAGAAAGGAAGATGTCTGGCTCTGTGTGGCCAGAACACCATGTCAGAAGGAAGCGGGCAGGTCTGGACATTTTATTTCCTGGTTTATAAACATCTATGTGCTCAGCCTCAGGCAGAATAAAATGTGCTCTGTGCAGGCCCCTCTCCAGAAGGTGGCGATGTGAATATGTGAGAGGGGACGTGGCTAATGTTGATTCCTCTGGCTGTGGAGCAGGTGAGCAGGGCAGGGTTAAGCTGAAGAGGGCCCCACAGCCATCCAGGCGAGCTGTCTAAAGTCAGAACCCAAGGCATGGCTGTGAGGGTGAGGAGAGGAGATGAGGAAACCATAGGTCGAAGAGTTGACAAGCCTTGTAGGTGACAAGCAGCAGGGTAGGAAAGGAAGAAGTCGGAGCAGCTTCCTGCCTATTGCGGGACCCAGAGGCAGCAGGATGTGGGACATGCTGGTGGAGGGCAAAGCCAGATGCCCGTGTACTGTAGCTATCAGAGGTTGGGGACTTGGGTTGACCTCCACTGTGTGTATATGTATCCGTGGTTACATCAGAATGAAATTGTAACCTTTAAAATGTTTTTTCCTGTATTTTTATGCTTATGGGTATTCTGCCTGCATGTATTTCGATACACCACGGAGACCAGAAGAGGGCATTGGGTCTCCTGAGGCTAGAGTCACAGATGATTGTGAGCACCATAGGGTGCTGGAAATCAAACTCAGATCCTCTGGTAGAGCTGCCAGTACTCTGAACTACTGAGCCATCTCTCTGGCCCTGAAACTGGAACTTGAAAATTACTGAGCCTTGGGACCTGTTTTTGAGGCAGTGGAGGCTGTGACACACACAGGCTGTGGTTGCTGGTGTGTGACTGGTTTGGAGCGTTCTAACTACTGTTTCTGTTGTCCCTTTAGGAAGCCGTATCACCCTAAACTGGAAGCTTTCGTTAGTCACATGTTGAAAGGGTCCGGAGCCTCTTTTGAAAGCCCCTTAAATTCCCTGCCTCTCTATCCTAACCATCCTCTGTGTGAGATGGGAGAGCTCACGCAGACAGGTACGTACGATGGCTGGCTGGTCACTGTCCCTCCCACATGTCCCTCTGCTTGTATCCATTAGAAGATGACAGATAGGTAAAGTCCTCCAGGATGCAGGATGCCTGTGTTACCAGTTAGCTCTGTGGGCCTGGCTGTATCCAGACAGAAATCGTAAGTTGGTGAGCTCTTTCAGGGCTGGTAGTCCTGGGCCTTGAGTGCCCAGGGCCCAGGGACTGGAATGCCAAACACAGGTTTTTAATCTCAGAGCTTTAAAAATTAAGAAGTTACTGCTCTGGGCTTAATGCTAACAATCCCAGCACTTGGCAGGCACTGTAGACCTTGGCTTCTAGCAGCAATGAGTGGCAGCAGCAGACAGAGCAAACAGACAGTGCAAAGCCACTGCAAACAATGCCTTCAGTGTTAAAACTCACAACCCACTTAGGGTGCAAGGACTCTCGGCCCTGTAGTGACTGTGTTACTCTTTAACCTGGGCCCACACTTTCTGTCCTGTGGCTCTGAAATTCTCTCTTCGGCTCTCTACCTTCTCTTATCTGCTCTCTGTTTCTTCAACTGCTGTCCCCTTTGAAGTCGCCACTGCCTGAGTGGCTGTGCTGCCACCTTGGCCACTGCTCTGCAGTGATAAAGAGTCAGAGTAGACAAGGGAAGGCTGTTCAGAGGCCCTTCCTTGGACCTTGCAATACGAGGGGGCAGTGCAGGAGGGCTGACTAGAAAAGCAAGCTGAACAGCCAGGAAAGGGGGTATCTTAGTTAGGGTTTTACTGCTGTGAACAGGCACCATGACCAAGGCAACTCTTATTAAGGGCATTTAATTGGGGCTAGCTTACAGGTGCAGAGGTTCGTTCATTCCAGTATCATCAAGGTGGGAACATGGCGGCCTCCAGGCAGGCATGGTGCAGGGAGGAGCTAAGAGTTCTACATCTTCATTTGAAGGCAGCTAGGAGAAAATTGGCTTCCAGGCAGCTAGGTTGAGAGTATTTAAAGCCCATCTCCATAGTGACACACCTACTCCAACCAGGCCACACCTCTTAATAGTGCCACTCCCTGGGCCAAGCATATACAAACCGACACAGAGGTATGGCAAGCTTGTTTGCACTAATTATAGCTGTTTCCCCACAAGTAAAGGACTGATTGCACCAGTTACAGGCCTCTGGGCCACAAGGAAAGGCCTCTGGCCTGAGAAAAAAGGGCTGCAGGATTGGCTAGGGCTCACCAGGCTTGTCTTACTTACAATGTCGCTTTCTGAGGCTGCAGCAGACTATCTGTCCTCAGCTGTGTTTGTAGTGGTCCCCTAAAGCTTCAGAAGTGTCCTCAGGGCGACTGCAAAGTGTCCAAAGCAGCCAGGCTGCCATGAAGGCCATCTGGCCAGTTGGTAGGAAAAGGGCCCTTGGCTGACAGTTCCCTGCTCAGGCTGCCAGGCAGAGGAGAAGCTGTCAAACAGCCTGCTCCTGGTTTTTAGTCATTTTCAGAGAGCATTCAAAGACTGCTTAGAATTAACTTAGTAATAAAGACTTAACAAAAACTCAACACAGAACTAACAATCTTAATAGCATTTAATAGTATTTAACAACACTCAGTTGTGTTTAAACCCCTATGTCAGTGCCCTAGGGAGAGGTTGCTCTTCTGATGTGTCTTATATGGACTGAGACCTCAAGGAACTCAGAGACACCAAAGTATCTATTAAAACATCTGCTTTCTTAAAATTAAAAATAACTTTATAGGCAAGATGGCTGTCATGAGTAAACTGGGTCTGCTGCCAAGCCTTGTGACTCAGGTTCAATCCCTGGGTCCTACATGGCAGAAGGAAAGAACTGGCTCCTGCAAGCTATCTTCTGACCTCTGTGTGCACACTGCGATACACATGTGCACTCATGTGCACACAAAATACATAAAAAGAAAATTAAATAGCCTTCTTGTTACAGAAGCATTGGTGTTCATGAGTATAACTTACAAGAAGACAGTAAAAGAAGAAAGACCACAGTTCCACTAAGAGCTGGACAATTAGCTGTGGAGATGGTTGGGTGGATAAGAGCACTGGCTGCTCATGCAGAGGATCCAGGTCCAGTTTGGTTCCCAGCACCCACAAGTAGGCTCACAACTGTCCATAACTCCAGTTCCAGGGGATCTGACACCCTTTTCTGACTTCCCTGGACATCAGGTACACAACTGGTGTACATACATACAGGCAGGCAAATGTTTGTAAAGAAACAGACTCTTGATGCTAAGCTTTCTTCCCATGCACATGCCGAGGTGTCTTAGTGAGCCCTCGCTTCCATCTTCCATTTCATTACAGAAGAATATAACTGGAGGTAGACAAGATAGCTCAGCAGGTGACGGTGCCCACCTCACTTGGGGGTGGAACTCTCTACACCATTGGGACACTTGAACATGAATGACATAATTGGTCATACTGCCCGTGAGTAGTTCACTTCTTCAGAGGATTCCCACCAGTTACTGAGGTGGCAGTCCCTCACACTCTGTAGGCTGGAGGCAAACCCATTTTTTTCTTTCGGGTTGCCCTCTCCTACTTAGGGATAAAGCTTTCTCATTTCTGTAAAAAGTTTTCTCCTTGTTGTCCGTGGTGTGCAAAGCCCAGACAGTGTTAAAGGGAAGGTAAAAGTCTTGCTCCCACGTTCCACCCACCTCACTTCTGCGCCCTCCATTCCAAAGCAGCTGTGAACACGTGTTCTTGCTTTTCCTTCTTTTTCACTTAAAGGGGGCATGATAAACATACTGTCTCCTTTATGGTTCTTAAAACACTCTGTCTGGGTATCTGGAACTGCAGAGAATGAGCTAGCTGGCTGAGCTTAGAAATCTCCTGTAGAGCCAGACTGCGTGCCCCCGAGGTTAGCAGGCCCTTCAGTTAGGCATGCTGACAGCAGCATGGAGGAAATATCCCAACTGTAAGTAGACTAGGCAGAAAGCAGGAAATGGCAGGTAAGGCAGATTTCATGTACCCATCCCTGCCTGAGGATGCTGTGTCCCTGGACAGTACACCGGTCCTTGGGTACTTGCTAATTACAGTTCAGATGCAGGATTCCTAGTCTCTGCTGGCCCTAGGGAAATGGGGAGTCCAGTGGGGAGAGGCTTGTGACAAAGGCTGTCTTCCACTCCCCATCCTTACACTAGCTGACACAAGCCTGTTCTCACAATTTCTACTTCTGTGTTGGCAAACAAGCCTCATCCTGCTAACTTCAACTTGCTATAGAACATTCCAGAGACAGGCGCTGGTCGTTTGTGGCCCTTTTGCTAAACTTGCAGTAAGAAAGTCTCTGTGTCCGCTGGTGTTGCAGGAGTCGTGCAGCATCTGCTGAATGGCCAGCTGCTGAGGGACATCTATCTGAGGAAACACAAACTTCTGCCAAACAACTGGTCCTCAGACCAACTTTACCTAGAGACCACAGGGAAGAGCCGCACCCTGCAGAGCGGGCTGGCCCTGCTCTATGGCTTCCTCCCAGAGTTTGACTGGAAGAAGGTTTACTTCAGGCACCAGCCAAGTGCCCTGTTCTGCTCTGGAAGCTGCTACTGCCCGCTGAGAAACCAGTATCTGGAGAAGGAGCAGCGACGCCAGTACCTGCTCCGTCTGAAGAACAGCGACCTAGAGAGGACCTACGGGGAGATGGCCAAGATTGTGGACATCCCCACCAAGCAGCTCCGGGCAGCCAACCCCATCGACTCCATGCTCTGCCACTTCTGCCACAACGTCAGCTTCCCCTGCAGCAGAAGCGGCTGCCTTGGCATGGAGCACTTCAAGGTGATCAAGACGCACCAGATAGAGGACGAGCGGGAAAGGCACGAGAAGCTCCTGTACTTTGGGTATTCCCTCCTCGGGGCCCACCCCATCCTGAATCAGACAGTTAACCGGATGCAGCGTGCTGCCTCGGGCTGGAGGGACGAGCTGTTCACCCTGTACTCCGCTCACGATGTCACCCTGTCTCCCATCCTCAGTGCCTTGGGTCTTTTAGAAGCCAGGTTCCCGAGGTTTGCTGCCAGGCTGGTTTTTGAGCTCTGGCAAGACCGTCAGAAGCCCAGCGAACATTCCGTCCGGATTCTTTATAACGGGGCTGACGTCACCTTCCACACCTCCTTCTGCCATGACTTCCACAAGCGCTCTCCCAAGCCCATGTGTCCTCTTGAGAACTTGGTCCGCTTTGTCAAAAGGGATATGTTTGTAGCCCTGGATGGCAGTAGTACTAACTATTACGATGCATGCCACGGGGAAGGGGCCTAGGAGGTGTCGGCACAGCGGTGTTTTATTGCTGGTTCTGTCTGTTGCTAAGATGTCAAGGTACGGAGTTCTAATGGATGGCATCAGGTGGGGTGAGCATGCTCATGGGTTGAGGCAAACAGGAAGCACATAACACTATGTTACTTGGTACAGAATAGCCAGTTCACAGAGGAAAGAAGGTACGTGTTCACGGCCGTGTGCAGCTTAGAATGCCAACATGAGGCTCAGTACTCACAGTTGCCAAGCCAACCTTAAATATTTTTTGGCCTGCCATGGGACCAGCAAACCTCTGCCAAAATCTTCTTAATCTCGGACATTTACCTTAACCTTGTTGAGTGGAAATTTTCCCAGAGTGATGAGTTCAGAGTGTACTTGGCAGCCTTTTTCTGGAGGGACCAGAAGGTAGGTCAGTATCTTAGACTTTGTAGACCTGAAGGTCACAGAGACTATCTGTCATACCTTCTCAGTTGTGCTCTGGTGACGTGACGATCCATAAATGGGCATGTGTAGTTCCACAGGCCAAACAGAATGGGCGGCAGCCAGCTCGGGCTCACGGGCTGTGTTGGCTGACTCATCTTTAAAGCAGCCTGTACCGCTGTACTTTGTCACTTTGAGAGCCGACTCTCCGCTGTTCAGCAGGTCCTATGGTAATGTCTGCTAGAAGCACACTATTGGGTCTGTATCTGATGTGATCATAAGCCCAGGGAAATGAACACTGGGTCAGAAAGCGTGTAGGAAATTGTTACAGTACTTGACACTCATGAGGGTCGTGGCACAAAATAGCTTTAAGTGTGTTTTAGATATTTGTCTGCTGTAGTCTATTGGCTGCATATGCTGGGATTTTTGTATTCCATTTAGTATTTTTATAGTCTAGGAAAATATTTTCTGAGACCAGTTTTAGATGTGTTTGGATTCTTATAGAAATATTCGATTCACTGCACCTGCTTGGTGGTTGGAAGGAGGCCAAAAGCTCAATTCGGTGCCCCCCCAAAATAAATAACTAATGACTCATTCATTCCCTTTGACAAGCTGTGGAATTGGGTCCATTTTTAAACCATTTTCATCAATTTTAAATGCCAAATTCCAATTGATTTTTAAAGAGGTTTCTAGAAAAAAAAAAAAAAACTTTGTTACTCCGTAGTTAAATAATCTTTCTAAAGTGTTTTATATCTTAGGTATAATTACAACTCACTCTGTGGCTCCTGGGTTAACGGTGCTAGTTTGTTCCGAAGACGTGGCCCATGCAGGTGGGACTCTCCAGCTTCCGCATTCCAACCTTTCTCTTCCTTTGTGTCTGGTGTTGCATTTGAACACGGTTTGTTTTTAGAAATAAAAATTTTTGAATTCTTACAGTACAACTTACGGTGTGTGTCTGTCCGTCCCTCGGGTTCTTTACAAGAGAGAAGCAGTGTTTTAGAATTTCACTTTTAACTGCTTGATGTAACGCAGAAGACTGTAGACTTGTTTTCTCCCCCCCACCCCCACCCCGCAAAAAGCCTGTTCGGGTTTCTTTCTCCCACTCACAAGCTGTCAGATTTAGAACTACTAAACACAACTTGAAGATTTAAAAATAAAAGCAAAAAAGAGGGAATTTTAAAAACATGGACTTGTGACGCCTGTTGTAAGAGTAAGTATTTTGGGTAAGAGCCAGCATCAAAGTTTATAGAAGACGGTTTTACCTCCTGAGACACTGGCCACGCCACGGACAGAGCTCTGAAAACCTTCGTTCCACAGCACATGAATGCAGAATATGAAGCTGACCATACGCATGGCTACTCCCAGACCTTGGAATCTCGGAATTGATCTAATGGCATCACTCATGACCGGCCTGGGAGTGTACACGGATGTAGTTAGCTTCATGTTTTTATATTAAAATGAATACACTCTGGAAAATAATCCTAAGCAACAACTTCCAAAGTGGAGCTCAGCCTTACAGGGAAGAAACAGTCTCAGTTTCGGCCTCAGCCTCAGTTTCCCCCACTGTACTCTCTCCACATGCTTGCAACGGCGGGTGTGTGGGGGCTTTTCCGCCACACAGAGGAACAATCGATGATTTTGCCCCTGGATGCCTTCCAGTTCGGTCCTGAGATATGTATGTACCTATGGTGTCAGATCCCTCAGGTTGAGCGCCCAAAACGGTCACACGTGACTGCATCTCAGCAGGTTTTACCTGTGCCTCTGACCAACTGGCTGTAAATTTAGGTCTGCCCACCCCCATCCCCTGGGCTTAAGCCATCACAGAGCTTCGGGAAATGCCAGTTTATTACAAGAGATGTTGCAGAGGAAGAGACGCGTAAGGTGTGGGGGAGGGGCACGGAGCTTCCAGTGCTGTCTTGCAGAGCCACACACGGCCTGTTACTCTCCTGTATCTAACTGCCCAGCTCTCCAGACTCTGTCCGTTAGATTTTTATGAAGATTTCATCGCATAGGTGTAATTGATTGTGCCTTTGGCCACTGCTGATCAATATGACTGACATCCGTCCCATCTCTGAAGGTTGAGGGATGGGGTTGTAAGTTCCACCTCTGATCATGCCTTGGTCTTTCCACGAAGCAGCCCTCATACTGGAGCTATCTAAGAGACCACCTGCATCAGGAGACTTACTGTAGCACACAAAAGAAGTGATCCTAGAAATCCTAAGGATTTTGTAGGGGAATGGACCAACATCAGATATGTCACGATACATATCCTCTGGAACCAGTTCTGTGAGCTGCTGGACAAACATTGCTCTAAAATTTTCTATGGAGATGTCCAAATATGGATAACTTAACAACAGAAACAAGATCATTCTGGATCTATTGTTCCAGAACTTGATTTTAAGGGCTTATTTTTAGGGGACTAGGAGGATGCCTCCTTGGTTAAAGTACTTGATGCTCTTCCAGAGGATGTGGGTTCAATTCCCAGCACCTACATAGTCACATGGTGGGTGTTCACAACTCCAGTTTGGGGGACCTGACATCTTCTGACTTCTGTGGGCACCAGACACAGAAATGCTACACATACATTCATACTAGCGAAACACAAAAATAAAATTGATTAATAAATTTTGTTTTGTTTTTTTTGAGACAGGGTTTCTCTGTGTTCTTGGAACTTAATCTGTAGACCAGGCTAGCCTCAAACTCATAGAAATTTGCCTGCCTCTACCTCCAAGTGCTAGTGTACCCAGGAAGAGGCTAAGCTGCCATGGTAAGACGCTTTCCCTATGGCCTCTGAGGCCGTCCTACCAGATCATGATGTCAATAAGTTAATTAAACAATGGGGTTCCAGCAGTTACAAATTTAAATCTAAATGGTTAGGGACTATTTCAGCCATCCTGGCTTATTTTTGTTAAAAGAAAACAATGTAACTTCTTTGTGGGGGGTGCAATAGTGTATTCAACCACCAGGGGGCAGCATCAAATAAGTTTTTGGTCTTTAGGGTTAGGTCTGCCTTATAGAAAAGTAGGTTAACTTGTGTTTTAAGATGACCAACTATCCTTGTTTGCCAGTCATGGAGGAGTTTCCACAGGCAAGCTATTCAATGCTGACAACTGAGAAAACCTAAGGCAAAGTAAAGCCAGTGACTCTGGAGTTACACATTAAAACAAATGTTTTATATCGTTCACATTTTATAGAAAAGTTTGGATGATTCACAGAGCTAGCTGATGTGAAGCAGAACAGGGTTAAAGGAGCATGTTTTCTTTGCTTATTTGTTTGTTTGTTTTTGTTTTTCAAGACAAGGTTTGTCTGTATAGCCCTTGCTATCCTGCAACTCACTCTGTAGACCAAGCTAGCTTCAAACTCAGAGAACTGTCTGCCTCTGCTGGAATTAAAAGTGTGTGCCACTGGCAGGCTAGGACCATGTTCTTAAGCAGGATACCTTATAACATGCCTCCGAACAATTCGGGTCACTGTCAGGTTACATGCAACCCAAACCTGATCACCATGGCTTAAGCAAATGAAGCCGTCTGTCATTTCAAATGGGTCCAGCATGCTATCAGGACACCAATGCCTGCTGATGTCACATGGGCAGAACAGGGACTCCTTGCTTCTAAGAAAGTAGGGACTTTATTAGGTGCATTGCCACATTCCAAGTGGATTAATTACTTTTCTGTTGCTGTGATCAAAGCAACTTACACAAGGACAGGTTTATTTTGGGGTTAGGGTTCTAGAGGTATGAGTCCAGGATGGCAGAGCAGAGGTAGCAGAGCAGGTGGGTATAACAACAGCTGAGAACTCGTATGTTGAACTACAAACAGAAGGCAGAGAGGGCAATCAATAAGATCAACACTGGCTTTTGAAATCTCAAAGCCTTCTCCCAGATACAATTCCTCCAACAAGACCACACCTCTTAATCCTTCCTTCCCCGGGCTCCAGGCTAGATCCAGCCCGCAGGAGGCCCCCCCACTCTGTTCTCAGCTCTTCTGCGGCTCACCCAGAGCAGTGTCCCAGAACTTCCCTACAGCCTGACACCAGTGATGGCATAGGGTGAGCACGGTCAACTTCCTTTGTTCTGCCTCCCCGAGCGGCAGAGCCCTGTGGCAGAGTGGACACTGGATCCCAAAAACCCTTCACCAGGACGAGACTGTGTCACACTGGCCAGACTAGAGCATCTATACAAGACCACAAAGTCCCGCCTCCAAGGTGACACACTTCCTCTAACAAGGCCACACCTCCTTCAGCAATGCCACACCTCCTAGGAGTGCCATTTCCTGTAGGTCAAACATATTCAAACCACCACACAAACCAAATACAGAAACACATAGAAAAGTTCATCACCAAGATCAAGTTGCCTTTATTCCATGGGCGCTGGAATGATTCTGTATATGCAGGTCAATAAATGGAACAACTCATATAAATGGGCTTAAAGACAGAAAACTCCGTGGTTATCAGAATAGAGGCAGAAAAGAGACTTTGATACAATTCAACATCTCTTTATGATAAAAGCCCCAGAGAGACAGAGATGGACAAAACACATTTCAACATAATAACGACTGCAGATGACAAACCCATGACTAATATTATCCTAAGTGAAGAAAAACTTGAAGTAATTCTATTAAAATCAGGAATAAGACAAGGCTGCCCGTTTTCTGCATTCCTAAGTGATAAGACAGAGAATAAGATAAGAGAGGGGAATAGAAGGGTTTACAGATGGAGTCAACGTAACCCAGTCTTCAGATTGTAAGATTCTGTTCATAATAGACCCTGAAAAGTCCACCAGAAAGCTCCTAGACCTGACAACCACTTTCATCAAAGCATCGAGATACAAAACTAACATAACAAAAAAATCAGTAGTTTTTCTATTTACTAGTGACAAACACACAAAAAGAGAGATCAAGGAAACAATTCCATTGACGATAGTTTAAAAACAATAAAATAGTAGAAAACCTAGACTAGGAGGTGAAGAGGCCTCTGCAATGAGAACTTTAAAACAAGGAAGAAGTTGAGGAAGATGTTTGAAGATGGGAACATGCTCATGGATTGAAAGACTCAATATTGTGAAAAGGGCCGTCTTACCAAAAGCAATTTAGAGGCTTATTTCAATCTCAACGAAAATTCAAGTGGCATTCTTCACAGAAACAGAATGAGCAACCTTAAAACTCACATGGACGAACAAGAAGCCAAAGAAATCCTGATCAAAAAGAAGGATTTCTTGTTGTAATGGAGGCATTACAATACCTGCTCTCAAGTTACACTCCAGAGCCATAGTGATTAAAATGGCCAGGCACTGGCACAAAACCAGATAGCTAGGTCAATGGGAAATAACAAGCGAGTCCGATGTGAGCCCACACAGTTACAGTCACTTGAAAGGAAGACAGCATCTACCCTAAATGGCGTTGGGAAAACTGGATATCCACATGCAAAAGAATGAGACTAGACCCTTAGCTCTCACCCTGCATATAAATCAGCTCCAAATGTAAGATCTGAAACTCTTAAAAAAAAATTGGGTAGAAGAAAGAGGGTGGAGTATGCTAGAGGGAGTAAGTGGGAACCTGAGTGATACGGTCGTAAGTCCAGCACTGACAAATGAGACATCGTGAAACTAAAAAACTTGTGTACAACAAATCAACAGAGTGAGAAGGCAGCCTGAAGAACGGGAGGAAACCTTTACCAGCAACACATCCAGTAGAGGATTAATACCAAGAACACCAATAGAACTCAAGGAACTAAACACCAAGAAAACAAACAACCCAGGCTGAGCGTGGCGGTACACACCTTTGATTGCAGCAGGCAGAGGCAGGCAGAGCTCTGTGAGTCTGAGGCCAGCCTGGTCTATACAGTGAGTTCCAGGACAGTCAAGGCTATGTGGAGAGGACTATGCCTCAAAACCAACAAACAACATTTTAAAAATTAAAAGAAAGAAAACAATGAAATTAAA